GGGATAGATGATTTTTTTATCACTGCTGATGTGCTCATTTTGAAAGAATTTCACATGAAATATCATTTTTACCTCCTATAATTTTCATAATCAAATTTTCCAATTTGATGCTAATGTAATCATATTTGATTCTATGTGAAAAACGTAACTCTATTCTATTCTAAATTGGAGGTACTTGATTCCATATCTTTGCTTTACTTAATAATGGATAATACTTCCTGTGTATTTTCATGTCAATAACTTTTTTATGTCTATGGTATGTTCACTTCGTATTTGAACTTTTGTATTGTTAAAAAGATTGTATTACTTGATAAGTCTACTATAACTTTTTAATAAATAAAAAAATATAGCTTACTAATTTATTTAAGGTTTAATGTTTCGGTAAGTCCCTTTTTTTGTTCGTCAATCTAAATAGTTTCCCTTAGTTATTCGATGGTCTTCAATTGTGGTTCTTATTTTTGGAAAAATGAAAACGAAATAGAGGCTTGTCGTCAAATTGGACAACCGTCGTTTAAGAGGCCTTTACGTGGCATGTTGATAGTATTTTCACCTAAGCTAAATCTTCTCGCCTGGACGAGATATGCAGAAAATCGAAACACAAGTTTTGCTTATATATTCGTTTTGTTAGGATGCAATAGATGATGTTAAAGTGAGTTTGTGAATGAAAACTCAAATAACAACGTATTTGACTATCTTGAATGAATGAAGTTGTGTTATATTCGTTTATGTTTGCTTTTCTGGTAGATGATTTTAGGGCGAATTTTAATCAAAGTATACTCTATATTGATAATCCATGAAAATGGTCTACCTTACCTTAATACCAGCAATGATGTTAATGGTATACCAAAAAGTAGGAATCTTAATCAAGAAGGGATCATATTCCTATGGAAGCAAAACCACTTTTCTTTCTGTGATAAAGTACTAGTGTTTTATCTCTTCATACCTCGCGTCTTATAATTTGAGGAAAGAAAGCACTATGTTGGAAAGAAAGTGGTTATTAATCATCCTTCCTTTTCTGAGTTTTAATATAGGATCGCGTGGTCTCGCTTAAGCTAAAAATTCGCTCAGCTAGATTGACGAGACAATAGTTTTAAAAGGATTTGCCCAGGCTATCCAAGTTTCGCCTAAGTGAAAAAGCTCTAGTGGCTCAACCTTAGTTGCAGGACATTGTCGCCTAGGCGAACAAAGTTTCACGTAAGCTAAAATGTTCCAGTGGACACCCCAAATATTAGCCTAAATCTCGCCCGAGCAACTTAGTTTTAGCTTAAGCGAAAATGTTTCAGTGCATATCTCGCCCAAGGTTTAGCTTAGGCGGAAATACTGTTAGCATGTCACGTAAGGGCCTCTTAAACGTCGTTTGTCCAATTTAACGGCCAACCTCTATTTGTTTCAATTTTTAAAAAATAAGGATCCAATTAAGACACTGAATAAGTAGGGGATCTATTTGAGATTCTGGAAAAAAAAAAAAGAACCTACATTAAACCTTTATTTAATAAAACAAATTATAGAATAAATTATCTTTATTTAAAAAACATTAAATAACTTTTTTAAAATAACAACTATATACTTTCTAAAAATGGTATTATTTAAAATAAATATTTCATTTATTTTAATTAATTACTCATTAAATAATAAAACGTATTTTTAATATTAATAAGAATATGGACATAGATAGTGCGTAGGTTTTAACTAGTAATAAATAATAATATTATATATACCATTTATGGGTTACATTATATTCTTAAGAAAATAATATATTAAAAACAAAAAAATAATATATTTTAAAGAAAAAAAAAATAGTAATCCTTAAAAAATATTCTTTTTTAATTATTTTATTTAATAATTTTTGTATTCTATCTTAAAATAAATTTTTACCAAAAAAGTATTGTTATTATAAATATCATTTTAATTATTATTACCACTTTGTAATTTGGTAATCTTTATTTTTATCTATTAAAATATTTTTTAATCTATTACATTACTCAAATCTCAAACATATCAATTTCCAAAATTCACTTTCATTATTAGTAAATCACTTTAAAAAAATAATATACAATTTACTTTCAAATATCTTCAAATTCAAATTTTTTTCCTTTTTTCTTAAATCCTCTTCTTTAAATCATCTTCTTTAAGTAAACACGTATAACACAACATTGTGGCACATACTTCTTGTTTGTATGATATCTCCATTTATGATTTATTGATTAACTCAGGTTAAAAGATGATAGAATCAAATTAATTCCCAAATTAAAGAAAATTAAAGAAGACATAAATGAATTAATAAATGACCTAAAGATAGAAAGACGATAATAAAAATCATATTATTTTATTGACAACAAAATTCAAAGGACAACTACTTAAAAAAATAAAAAATATATTAAATATTCCATATAATAAATATTTTAATAAAAATTCAATTAAAAATCCTTAAGTTTATAAATTTATAAGTTACCTAAAAATTTGTTTAAAAAAATTAAAAAATACAAACATTCTATTTATTTTGTTCTGTCTTTAAAGAAAAAAAAAATTCAGACATTTGGACACTGGTCCTGTGATCTCATCCTTATTCATACAGCAAATCACTACACTTCCCTCTTCTCTCTTTCTTCTTCTTGTCACACACTCACTACATCTCAACTCAGATCTCTGCTTCCTTCAACCATGGCCACACTCTTCGACTCTCTCGCCTTCGTTGGCATTCCTTCCGCCGCTTCCTTCCCCTTCGCCGCTCGCCCCACCTCCGCAAGCTCCCGCAGTGCATCGGCCTCAGACTCAGACCAACCGTCGCACGATTCGTGGCAGCCTCCGCTCCCAAAGTACGCCTCACACGCCGTCGCGTTGTTTGCGAGGCTCAGGATGCCGTCGTTGATGGTCAGTTTTTCTTCTTTCGTTTGCTTCGGCATATATTTTTTGGTTTTGAAATCGTAATTTAAAAATAAATATTTTCGTTTTTAACAGCTAATAGATGCATGTTCTTTTCTTAAAATATAAGAATAAAATGGAATTGATCTAGTTTCAGACAGTGAAACTGAAAGAACTTCAACGTTTTTTTGGTAGTGGCTCATGTTTTCGCCGTAATAAATTAAATAAAATAAAAAATGTGGGATTTTGTTGCTTAATCGTTGGACTTATGGTGTCGAAATTAAAATCGAAGAATAATTTTTCTAGAGTTAAAATTAGTTGTGGAATTGAAAAATAATCTTTTCAAGAAGTCTGAAAATCTTACAAATCAACTCGTATGTAAAATCATTTTAGACTTTTGAGATTATTTAAGACTTGGGGTTTGAACTATAACAACATCCGAGAACTTGTCGTAGAAAGTAGTTTTGAACGTATACTAATTGTTGAAATATAATAATTATTTTTCACTTAACTGATTGATGTTTGATATTTTCCTTTGTCTGAATGTATGGAGGACATTGACATTGGGATATTTGGGTTCAGAAGGGAATGATCTTGGATTAATGTTAGAAGATGTAATAAAATGGCAGGCTGTGTTAGAAATACTGATTTTGAATTGCACTAGTGTCAATAGTTCATCTAGTTATTAGCGGTATTGATACATTCGTTGATGTACGGCAATGGCAGACCCATTTTCGGTAGAGTTTATTGACAAAGCATCAATTAGTTTGGTCTTTGATGGGTGAAGTAACATGATAGGGATATATATAGTTTTCATGTATAACAAGCTGAAGTGTAGTATCCTAAATGGGGTTAGGTATTATTTTCCAGTTAAAATTTGATTTTCGTTTAAGTAGTTCTTCAACTTTTATACCAACTTTATTTCCCCAAAGTTGTTCATCTTAAATTTATTGTTTTGGGAATTTCATTTGCATTGATTGAATAAACCTAATAAGAAGGTCTTGCTTTTGTCAATGCGTGTTTTTTTTCTCTTATCAATCAACATAAGGACAGATTAAACTCTGCCCTATGGTTTCTGGATCGTCCATTGGGGGATATCGCAAGGTCGGCCGATGACCGTTGTGTCGATGTTATGATATGTTCAGTATTATGCAGAGCCGGGATGGCTTGAAAATTAACACTATGTTATCTAGAAGTTGTTCTGACTCGGGTGACGGATGAAGATACTGACCAGAGTTCAGGATGTTCAAGTTGGTCCCAAAGATGTGCAAGATATCTGAAAACAATATTTTTTTTTTCTTTTGTGGAAAGTAAGGAAAGGGGTGTGAAAATCCGGGTAGTTTATATCATTCTGATTAACTGAATATTCATTTCCTTAAAACCTGGATAAAAGATAAAATCTTGATAACAAGGAGGGAACACCCACTTATGGGAGAAAAAAAAAAGTCTCACCACCACAGAATAGACAGTGAATGCTTCTGGCAGTAAGTTCCTTCATACTTCTTGCTGCAACACTTTCAGTTTCATATCTAGTTTCAAGCCTAGGTCAAGGAAGAGAGTGGTATTAGGCCCTAGTTAACCAAAACTAAAACTTGTCAATTCCCAGACATGGATCACATGACAGGTTAATCAACAAATATAAACTAGATTGTTTTGTTTGGACTTGTGTTTTCTATTGGTCTGTCTGAATTTTTTTATATGGTTTTCATGTTCCCCATTTCAGCACATTATCACTACAATGCAATCAAATTCTTGTGGATACAACCTCTTTCCGTTCATTTCAAGAGAAATTTTTGCAAATTTGAGAAAATACCAATTGAAAGTTTTGCCAGGTTGAGAGAAATACTAATTGGAATGAAATACTTTCTGTTATTGTGAATTACAGTGGCTGCTATTACCGATGCAAATTGGCAATCCCTTGTACTTGAATCTGATTCTGCTGTTCTGGTTGAATTCTGGGCTCCATGGTGTGGTCCCTGCCGAATGATTCACCCTATAATTGATGAGCTTGCAAAGCAATATACTGGGAAGCTCAAATGTTACAAACTCAACACTGATGAGAGCCCTTCAACTGCNAGTTGGTCCCAAAGATGTGCAAGATATCTGAAAACAATATTTTTTTTTTCTTTTGTGGAAAGTAAGGAAAGGGGTGTGAAAATCCGGGTAGTTTATATCATTCTGATTAACTGAATATTCATTTCCTTAAAACCTGGATAAAAGATAAAATCTTGATAACAAGGAGGGAACACCCACTTATGGGAGAAAAAAAAAAGTCTCACCACCACAGAATAGACAGTGAATGCTTCTGGCAGTAAGTTCCTTCATACTTCTTGCTGCAACACTTTCAGTTTCATATCTAGTTTCAAGCCTAGGTCAAGGAAGAGAGTGGTATTAGGCCCTAGTTAACCAAAACTAAAACTTGTCAATTCCCAGACATGGATCACATGACAGGTTAATCAACAAATATAAACTAGATTGTTTTGTTTGGACTTGTGTTTTCTATTGGTCTGTCTGAATTTTTTTATATGGTTTTCATGTTCCCCATTTCAGCACATTATCACTACAATGCAATCAAATTCTTGTGGATACAACCTCTTTCCGTTCATTTCAAGAGAAATTTTTGCAAATTTGAGAAAATACCAATTGAAAGTTTTGCCAGGTTGAGAGAAATACTAATTGGAATGAAATACTTTCTGTTATTGTGAATTACAGTGGCTGCTATTACCGATGCAAATTGGCAATCCCTTGTACTTGAATCTGATTCTGCTGTTCTGGTTGAATTCTGGGCTCCATGGTGTGGTCCCTGCCGAATGATTCACCCTATAATTGATGAGCTTGCAAAGCAATATACTGGGAAGCTCAAATGTTACAAACTCAACACTGATGAGAGCCCTTCAACTGCAACTCGTTATGGAATTCGAAGCATTCCCACTGTTATGATTTTCAAGAATGGTGAGAAGAAAGATACAGTTATTGGTGCTGTGCCCAAGTCAACGTTGACCACAAGCATAGAAAAATTCGTTTGAGGTGGTAAGTATAAGAGGCCATTGCTACAACAAAAGCTGTTTTTCCCTATAAGCTCCTTTTGTTCTTAGCCTCGTCTCTCAAGTTTCGATAATTTGATTACTCAAATACTCATTTACGCTTCTGTACAGTTATTGGATGCAACCTTATTTTCGGTTTTTTAGATTATTCTAGTTACCCATATGATAAGTGAATTTGCCATTGAATCATGGAACGATTTGAATTGAGTTTTCATATTTTTCTGCTTCTGTTTCTTTTCAACTTTCCATGGACACCGGTGACACGTGAGATATATGTTTATTAAACAAATTAGATAATTCGTATTAAATCCTAGTTCTCGTGGCTATATGGATCAACAAAACTCAAATGTAGGTAATTAGGTTTTATGTTGTGATTCTTTAACCATAATTATAATTTGAATAATGATACTTTGACAACATTTTTTGATAACATTTTAATATCATTTAGATGTTATGTGTGATTGGTACAAAATTACTACACAATCAATAATAATAATCATAAACACTAACATGGACCAATCATAGAATGAATGACACATAGATGATGTTAAAATGTTGTCTAAGTATCATTGTCCTTATAATGATGATAATCTTTTTGATAAAGGTATACATTAGAATGAACACCGTTAAATTCTAATATAAATGGGAGAATTTGAAGTATGAAAGATGTGTTGTCCTGTTTTACTAATTACTTATTAAAAAGAAAAATAAACAATTATGTTTTCTTTTTAAGAAAAATATTGATACAACTCTCACCGATGTGGCAGAAACTACGTTAAATTTTTGGTTAAAGAACTTAAAACGATTTAAACCATACATTACAACATCACAGAATACAATATAAAAGGAAAAGGATTTAGGTCATGTCTCTTTTTCGAATATATTTAAAACAGTAAAAAGAATTAGTTTGTGTCTCAACATGCATGAATGTAAACCATATAAGTTGCAAGTCAAGTTCGATATAATTATTAAATCATTCGAAGTATAAGCATATGTAACAGTCTACTATGAGTGTTATTTTTAGTTAAGAATACATTTGAATAACACCATTAAAAAACATGTTGAATTGGTTTGATTTGATACAAAAAAATTGAACATGATTAAATTAATATTTAGTTTGGTTTTAATTAGTTTTTCAATTTTATTGTATAACTTTTTATGGGTTAAATATGTTTTTAGTCCCTTAACTATCAAGTGTTTTTGGATTTCGTCCCTCTTTCAAACTTTGTTACACTTTCATCCTTCTCCTTAATGAAACTGTAATTTTAGTCCTCGAAAACCAACGGCGTTAACTTTTCAGTGAGTTGGCTAACGGTGTGTCAATGTTTCATGCCACGTGTCAATTGAAAATCTCTGAAACTTCACTCTCCAACCAAATCCCTCAACTCTCCGGGTGCATCCCTCCACCACCCCTTGCTTATGCAAAATCCACACCAACACGTTCCCCACCCATATAGCCATCCTCCCTCTCTCTGCCTCGGCCTCCACCCACGACACCACCACCTGCGTCCCGACCTTCCACCTTGATCCTGCCGTCCTCCTCTGCCTTCCGCCGCCTTTCCGGAAAGCCTTTCATCCTTGTTCTCTCCGTCTACAACAACCCAATGGGTCGTTCCTGCTGAGTGTGCGACGCCAAAATATTGGGTCGGGTTCATCTCACTGTTAACCTCTCCCTTGCCCCTCTCTCACTCTAATACCTTCCACAGCGGATGTCTCAATCTAGCTGGGCTCCACAGTACAAACCCAACCATCGGTCCAACTTATGGAATTCATATCAGTGAATCTAAACAAATGTCATAATCCAGATAGTAAAATTGGACCAGGATCTGAAACTCCGTGTCTTCTTCATCTTAAAGTTCACTTTTGCTGAACAATAGAAACAGTAATGTGGTTACTCTTAATAGACTTTGAAACGAAAAAAACACAGTGGCTAACTTGGAAAAGGAATTTTAAAGAAAAATGAAAAGTGAACTTTACTCTTATGCTTAGATTTCTGCCATTTATATAGAAATTAAAAATGAAAAGTTGACACATTTCTTTCGAAACTTTGCCTGTGTTAAAAGTTACACCTTGGTCTTTCACGGTTGCTGCCACCACCATGGATAAGGATTTCCTCAAAATTCATTTTCTTGGAGAAAACACCTTGGTTATCTTTATCTATCACAGCAGTACTTTGTAAAAAGAACTTACGGGGGGGTGGGGGGGTGGGGGGGGGGGGGGGCAGGGGGTGGGGGGGGGGCCGGGTGGGGTACTGGGGGGGGGGGGGTGGGGGGGGGGGGGGGGGGGGGGGGGGGGGGGGGGGGGGGGGGGGGGGGGGGTGGGGGGGGGGGGGGGGGGGGGGGGTGGGGGGGGGGGGGGGGAGGGGGGGGGGGGGGGGGCGGGGGGGGGGGGGGGGGGGGGGGCAGGTGAGGGGTGGTGGGTTGTTTGTTCTGGGGGATGTTTAGTGAGGGGGTGGGTGGGGGGGGGGGGGTTTGTGGGGGGGGTGGCGTTGAGTGCTAGGTCGGCGCCGGGGGGGGGGGGGCGGGCGGGGGGGGGGGGGGGGGGGGGGGGGTGGGGGGGGTGGAGGGGGGGGGGGGGGGGGGGTGCTAGGGGGGGGGGGGGGGGGGGGGGGGCGGGGGGGGGAAAGGGGGGGGGGGGGGCTGGAGGGGGGGTGGGGGGGGGGGGGGGGGGGGGGGGCGGGGGAGGCGGGAGTGGTCGGGCGTGATAGGGGGGGTGCTTGGGGGGGGGGGGGGGTGTGGGGGGGGGGGGGGGGGGGGGGTGCGGGGGGGGGGGTTGGGGGTGAGGGGGGGGGGGGGGGGGGGGGGGGGGGGGGGGGGGGGTTAGGGGGGCGGGTATCAGGGTGGTGTGATATTGATGGGGGGGGGGGGGGGGGGGGGGGTGTGCGGGGTGGGGGGGGCGTGGGGGGGGGGGGGTGGGGGGGGGGGGGGGGTGGGGTCGGGGTATGTGGGGGGGTGGGGGGGGTTGCTGCTAGTTCTTATGAGGTTGCCCACGACCCAAAGCGACAAGTTTTATCCCTAATATGTCGCAAAAAGCAAAACTTTGTAATGCTTCCATTAATATGCGTAAGCTTTACTTTATTTTTGACTTTTACTTCCCAGGATTCTTTCAAACAATAATTAACATTTGTCGTTGGTGCAGGCGTTGTTGCAAAGTTTTGAAATTAATTATTACTTAAGATTGTCCATAGATATTCAGTTAGTTTGTAATCCTAAATTGTGGTTTTCTTACTTTATAAAATATGTCTTGTGAATTTGTTTGAACAGATCTTAAAGGTTTTCTAACAAAATTATAATTGTATAATAGCCAAATTCAATTAGATATGCCTTTCAGTTTGTTTTTTATTGTAGCAAAAGAGAGATAGGTGAGAGGTTACCAATGAGATGAACCCGGCGTTGGGTCGCGCACTCAATAGGAAACGACTCATTGGATTGTTTAGTGGAGAGAATGAGGATGAGAGGATTTTCGGAGAAGCGACGGAGGGCAGCGGGGTCGAGGTGGAAGGTCAAGGCGGAGGTGGCGGTGTCGAGGGTTAAGGCGGAGAAAGGGAGGAGGGCCGTATGGGTGGAGAAGGTGTTGATGCGGATTTGCAGAAGCAAGAGGTGGTGGAGGGATGCACCCCGGAGAGTGGAGGGGGGTTTGGTTGGAGAGTGAAGTTTCAGAACTAGAGATTTGCAGGAAGGGAGAAAGATCCATGATAAGGAAGGAGAAAGAGAAAGTGACGAAAGCATTTTTACTTGAATTTCATATTTTCAATTTCCAACGTGGCATGAAACATTCACATACCGTTAGCCAGCTCACTGAAAAGTTAACGCCATTGGTTTTCGAGGACTAAAATTACAGTTTCATTAAGAAGAAGGATGAAAGATTTGAAAGAGGGACGAAATCCAAAAACGCTTGATAGTTAAAGGACTAAAAACATATTTAACCCATTTTTTATTAGTATATGTATCCGGTTTAATCTTTTGGGCCTAATATTATATTATGATGAATAAACTTATTTTTTATTTTACTATAATTAAATTTTCTAGTTTTAAACATTGTTTATATTGAGATATTTTTCTTACACGAGATCAGTGATACTCTATACTTTGTTAACAAAGGCAAAACAAAACAAAATAAAAGGGGTTCTATATACATGTGTGGATAAATATTATATAACACTTACATTCACTTCTCATTAGCCGAACAAATCTTAGCAGACACATATGTTATTTTAGAGTGTTGCTCCCTCCAACACCCCAAGTGATTCATGCACTTCTTCATATTTTTTTTATTCCAAAAATATTCTACAGTCTTCCCACTATTTTCTTGATTCCAAAAATACCTTACAACCCCTCACTAATATTCAACAATGGTTTTTCTTTTCTTCCCAATTAATGGGCATTCAATGACTTGGAGTTTAAATGTGCTATTGCAACATTTTATTTAACTTTCACCTTAAATAAGTTGATTCAATCTATGTCACGTTCAATATATATATTTTTCTTCAAATTACTTAATAAATGGTAAAATTTTGTTCTAAATTTCTAGATAGAAAAATGTTTATATTTAGGTGTGTTTTTTTTACATATTTTATATACTTTTTACATTATATTATGTTTAACCTTACCAACATGTTTGACTCAAATAACTTGAATAAAGTATTTAATTTATCAGATAAATAATGATTAAAAAATTATTAAAGCTTAAGATATAAAAGAAAGTATTGTTAAAGATTGGAATTATTTAGTTTCTCCGTTATTATAAAGTTAATTATATATAATAATAATGATAATAATAATATAATAATAATAATATTATTTACTATTAATAGTGTGTTATGTTATTATTTTGGATTTGATTAACTTTTAAGTTATAAAATGGAATGGTAGAGCACTAATATTGAAGTTTCCTCTCAATTTTATATTTTGCAATATATCACAAGTGTAAATCTAAGTCATATGAATGCTTCATTAATGCAGAGAGAGAAAAAGAAAGATTGTTGAGGATAATGGGGATGTGTAGGGTATTATTGGAATAAAAAAAACAACAAGATAAAAGAAAATAGTGAAGAGGTCCAGAAGCACTTGGGGTGGGGAGGGAGCAACACCCTTTACTCTATTGCACGAAAGTCAAAAACATAAACATGGAAATATCAAAGTTAGTTATTTTGTACTATTTATTTTCACTAATATTTTATTTTGTTTTACCATTTTTCTCTTCCAAGGTTAATTCTGTATAATTATTAAAACCAA